GTACGAAACAAAATGTACTTATTACCTGATTCATATAATTGTAACCCTCTGTATCTTTATAATAACAATAAAATAAGTAATTTTTTAAAAATTAAAACAATATAGAAAAAGTGATTCAGAACATGAGCTTTTAAGTCAGATCTTAGTTTTGGCCCTTGTGCTGAGGCTTACTAGCTGTGCAACCTTGGGCCAGCCCCTCAGTATCTGAATATAAATTAGACATAAAAATAATTCTTATTTCATAGGTGTGTCATAGGTTTTCCATGAAGACAAAATTAACTTAAGTATTCATACCTAAGGACATAGTAGAATCTGGTTGGCTTTTATTAGCTCATTTTCACATATGTTTCCAGAGGTGACTCCTTGTTGAGCAAGTGATTTTATAGCATATAAAAAAACAGACCTACTTCCATATGTTCTGCAGAGACTCAGGAGAACTTCTCTATTACTAACCCTCTAAGCGTTTTTTTTTTTTCTTATCAAGGAGCTAATTGTTCTGTCTTTAAGTCAAAACAGTAGTATCTTCTTTTCTTGTTTCTTCCTTGATTTAGCGATTCTTAGATTCTTTCAGGACCTAAACTCTAAACTTGAATCTCAGCTGGTCCACTTAAACTCTATTGGTTGTAGATTTTGTATTTATTTGACTTAGGCATATGGAATCATATACAATCCCTTTATAGAATTTATTGGAGAAGTCCTGTTTCTGGGCCAGACAAAAGAACTAATCAATTCTGAAAAATTGGACAAGTTTTTCCCTACCTTTGTAAAAAGATTTTTAATTAGAGAACAGCTCTGTCAATTGATTCTTCAGGCAAGTGTTTCAGAAAAACTGATACTTACATAAGTAAATCTCTTCCTATTCTGGTGATATATACTTATTTAACCTTGTACTGTAGTAATGACTTTTGGGGGTTAGGAGTTTTTTGGGTGGTCCTGGGGCTTGAACTTGGGGCCTGAGCACTATCCCTGAGCCTCTCTGTGCTCAAGGCTAGCACTCTGCCATTTGAGCCACAGCGCCACTTTGACTCTTTCTGAGTAGTTAATTGGAAATAAGAGTCTCATGGACTTTCCTGCCAGGGCTGGCTTCAAACTGCAATCCTCAGATCTCAGCCTCCTGAGTAGCTAGGATTACAGACAGACATGAACCACTGGTAACTAGCTATGACATTAAATTTACATGTAATTTTATTCATATACAAACAAATCATTTAATTTTCTAATTGAAAGATCCTCCTGAACTATAAAAGTGGTGAATTTTATTTTTAGTTCCATTCCACTGTGCTTCCTTTTCTTTTTTTTCTTTTTCTTTTTTTTTGTGCCAATCCTGGGGCTTGAATTCTGAACCTGAGCTCTGTCTGTGAGCTTTTGTGTTCAAGGCTACCACTCTGCTACCACTCTCCACTTCTGGTTTTTTGGTGGTTAATTGGAGATAAAGAGTCTCACAAACTTTCCTTCCCAGGCTAGCTTCAATCCCTGATTATCAAATCTCAGTCTCCTGGGTAGCTAGGATTACTGGCATTCAATTCATACATTTTTAATGGCATGTATATAGCTTTGGATTTCTCTCTAGTGATGATAGGGGATTTAGGTAATCACCCATATTTTAATTCCTGGTCTTCTTTTGACCCAACAGTATGTCACTCTTGTGATGACTTAAGGATTGTAATGTGGAACCATAGAATAAAGAACATTCAGGCTGGGAATGTGTCTTGGTAGAGTGCTTGCCTAGCATTCATGAAGCCCTGGGTTCGATTCCTTAGTACCACTTAAACAGAAAAAGCCAGAAGTGACACTGTGGCTCCAGTGGTAGAGTGCTAGCCTTGAACAAAAGAAGCTCAGGAATAGTGTCTAGGCCCTGAGTTTAAGCTCCAGGACTAGCAAAAAATAAAGTCAAAGTAAAAAATAAAGAACATTCATTCGATCACTGGGCTTTTGTCTGTTTGTCCCTCTTTAGGAGTTTATGTCACACAATCCAGCTGGGTCTAAGGTATAGTTTGTTCTTTCACTAGAGCTTACTGAGATTTGTGTAAATGATCTAAATATAAAGGCCTTATTTCCCTTATACTCTATATAGAGTGTCACTCCTTATCTTACTTTATAATCAGGATTTTTAAGATTCCAGGCAGCTTTCAATTAACCAAGGGCTCTTATCCTCTGCCATAGCCCTCAGCTTGTAGAAGCACTACATACACTTGGAAGAACACATTTAGCTGTGCTTAAAGCAAAGAATTCACTTAGATATGCTTTATTTAGAGTATAAGAAATAAAGACAAAATGATATTACAGAACTCCCCAAACCAGGAAGTTAGTTTTTAAACTACTGTTAGTCAAAGAGAAACTGGCTGTGTCTTACAACAGGAATGAATGGAGTGTGCTTGGCTATTTTAAGTTCTCAACAAATATACTTCTTTTGTCGATACAGATAACTGCTTATTTACTGGAAACCAGTGTGCCCAAAGCTGTTATTTTGCCTGGTGAATAGGTAGAATATTAGCCCTGTTTTTTCAAAAATATTTTCAGTTAGTAAAACAGATAGTTGCTGTGTTGGCAGAAGTGTGAATTTCATTTCCTGTCTGTGGTGTACCCCTCTCATCCTGTCACTCAGACATTTTGTTTTAGCCTGTTCCCGTAATGTGAGTGAACAGTGACCCCATAGCACAGTGGTATGTGCACACCACGGATGTAACAAGAGACAGGGCTTGTGCAACAGACCACAAGAGAGCAATTCTTTATTTAAAGATGAAAACAAAACAAAATCAAAACAGCCCCTCCCAGCAAGCATGCAATTTTTTTTAAATGGTGTCTGTAGATCCTTATGTTTTGTTTTGTTAGAAGATCTGTTCTAATCTATTTGGCAATTTACCTTAAAAGCTTTTTCTACCTTACGCTACTTTATTCAAGGATAAAATTGAGTCAGCAACTGACAGCATTACAAAGGTGATTTAAGTTCATAAAGTGATGTTAATTCATCATAAACAATTTTTGTGCCAGTATTGGGGCTTGAATTCAGGACATCAAGCTCTCACTGGGCTTTGACATTACCACTTGAGCAATGCCTCTAGTTCCAGCTTTTTGCTGGTTAATTAACGATAAGTGCCTCAGGGATTTGGCTCCTCTAAGCCTAGATCCTAAGATATCAGTTTCCTGAGTAGCTGGGATTACAGGCATTATTCTTTTTAATGTGGTGAGAATTAAATTCTTAAATATATTTAAATTTTTAAATACCATGGTAATTGTACATATTTATGCTGTAAAATATTATTTTCATACATGTATATAATATTTAATGACCAAATCAAGGTAACTAAGATATCTCTCACCTCAGACAATTAACATTTCTTTGTTCTGTGAACATTCAAAATCTTCTAGCTAAACTGAAATGTGCAATTGTTGTCAACCATAGTTACTGCACTATGCTATAGAACGTATTAAAGTAACTCTTCACGGGCTCCTATGGCTCGGGCTCCTATGGCTCATGCCTGTAAAACTAGGTACTCAGGAGGCTGAGATCTGAGGTTCATGGTTCAAAGCCAGACTAGTCAGGAAAGTCCATGAGACTCTTATCTCCAATTAACTACCCGAAAACCAGAGTGGTACTGTGGCTCAAGTGGTAGAGCACTCACCTTGAACCAAAGAGCTCGGGGCCAGCGCCCAGGCCCAGAGTTCAAGCCCTACAACTGACAAAAAAAAAAAAAGAAAAGAAAAGAAAAAAAATGAAGTAACTCTTCGTATATAGCTGTACCCTGTATAGGCATCAACATCCTGTCTACATCCTCTCCTCTCCCACATCTTTCCTAAAATGTTCAGCTAAGGGGCTGGGAAGGTGGTTCAGTGGTAGAGTGCTTGCTTTGCATGCATGAGGCCCTGGGTTCTATTCCTTAGTACTACATAAGCAGAAAAAGGCAGAAGTGGTGCTGTGGCTCAAGTGATAGAGTGCTAGCCTTGAGCTAAAATTGCTCAGGAATGGCACCCAAGCCCAGAGTTCAGGCCCCATGACTGACAAAAAAAAAAAGAAAAATGTTCAGCTAATAATTTAGTGTGGTATACCTTTTAAACACTAATTTTTGTACACTCTGGATCAATTGTAACTAAATGTTAAAATGTTTCTCCAGTCAAAATTATTGATAACTAGATCTAATAATAACTAATTTATTAAGACTTATTACTATAAGTCAGATACCACTTTAGGTAGCCATATTCTGATTGACATTTCACAACAGCCTCATTTTATTATCCTTGTCTACAAGACAAAGAAATCTAGGCTCAAAAATATTTACTCAGGGGCTGGGAAGGTGGCTCAGTGGTAGAGCGCTTGCCTTGCATGCCTGAGTCCCTGGGTTCAATTCCTCAGCACCACATAAGCAAAAAGAAAAAAGCCGGAAGTGGCTCTGTGGCTCAAGTGGTAGAGCACTTGCCTTGAGCTGAAGAGCTGAGGGACAGCGCCCAGGCCCTGAGTTCAGGCCCCATGACCGGACCCAAAAAAAAAAAATTTACTCGGGAAGCAGCAAAGCTTCAGATTAAGGGAGCTTGATTTGAGTGTTTGTGTTGAGCCTTTAAATCTAACTACTACCATGTAATATATACAGAATATTCTAATTTTGTTTTAGAACATTTTCTTTACAGTAGTTAACAGTATACAATAAGTAGAGTCACTTCTGATTTTGTATTACTTCATTTTAAGAAGTTGGGGGTCTGGGAAGGTGGCTCAGTGGTAGAGCACTTGCCTTACATGCATGAGGTCCTGGGTTCGATTCCTCAGCACCACATAAGCAAAAAAAAAAAAAAAAAGCTGGAAGTGGCACTGTGGCTCCAGTGGTAGAGTGCTAGCCTTGAGCTAAAGAGCTGAGGGACAGCACCCAGGCCCAGAGTTCAGGCCCCACAACCGGACCCAAAAACGAAAACAAAGAAGTTGGAACTTTGGAAAATAATCCTAAACTGGGTCTTCATCCTCTAATTTTTCTCCTTAAGTAATTATGTTCTTTTAACTTTTCTCCTTATAGCATCAGCGAGAGCTTTTTAACTGTCAAAGGTGCTGCACTTTTTCTACCACGGGGAAATGGCTCATCCACACCAAGAGTCAGCCACAGACGCAACAAGCATGCAGGTAAAGCTGCGCATAAACCATTCTTTTCTCAACTACTTTGGCTTTTGTTTTTTTTAAAAACAAAAAATTCATTATCTTGCCCATGTAATTGTAACCCCTCTGTAGAATATTTTCACAATAAAAAAAGACAAAAACAAAAACAAAAAAAAACTGAATCCTCAGTTTCCAACAGTGAGATAAAGTGTTATCCTATTCTGTAGTCACTTTCTTTCATTCTCCCAGACTGTTATTCTAGCACTTAGTAGACAGAATATCTTACACATAGCAATTTTTTGTTGGAATAATTAGGAGGAGGTATAGAAATACTCTTCAACCAAGGAATTAGTATATCACATATTAAAATACCTGTTCTTAGGACCAAGCCTGGTTGTGTATACCTGTAATCCCAGCACTCAGGAGGCTGAGGCAAGTATATGAGTTGAAAGCCAACTTGGGTTACATACAAGATCTGGGTTGAGTTAATAATTTTTTAATTAATTAAAATTTAAAAAAATTAAATTTTTTAAAATAAATTAAAAGTTTAATGTTTTTTAATAAAATTAAAATTAATTTCTTTTATTTATTGTGTGTGTATGTTGGTTCTGGGGCTTGAACTCAGCACGTGGCACTTTCCCTTAGCTTTTGTGCTCAAGACTAGCACTCTATTACTTGATCCACAGCTTTATTTCTAGCTTTCAGTGATTAGATTAGACTTTTCTGCCCAGGCTAGCTTCAGACTTCAGTCTTCAAATCTCAGCCTCTTGAGTTGCTAGAATTACAGATGTGAGCCACTGGTGCCCAGCAAATTACCTGTTCATATATGACAGTCTGCATTTTGGTTGTGTACACAATAAAAGACTAGATAGGGCTGGGAAGGTGGCTCAGTGGTAGAGCGCTTGCCTTGCATGCCTGAGGCCCTGGGTTTGATTCCTCAGCACCACATAAGCAAAAAGAAAAAAGCCGGAAGTGGTGCTGTGGCTCAAGTGGTAGAGCGCTAGCCTTGAGCTGAAGAGCTGAGGGACAGCGCCCAGGCCCAGAGTTCAGGCGCTACGACTGGACCCAAAACATAAAAAAAAAAAAGACTAGATATTTAATTCTGGACTTTGATAAATAAGGAGTCCTCAAATAATTCATCAGTAAAACCAGAATATAAAACTCTGGTTTTAAAATATCCAGTAACAGTAGTGTATACATTGTTTTCCCTTACATTGGAAATTCACCTGGAGTGATGAGGTTCCAAAAGACAGAATCATAGAAAATGTATTTTAGGAAGAAAAGTTCTTCATTATAGGCTATCCACAGTTTAGGAAGGTAACCTGATTCTTCTCTTATATCAGCAAGTCTTGTTTGTGTCATTTTGAGGAAAAAAGAGAAGTCAACTTGAAGACAATATTCTTGACCAATACTAAACAAATAAGTGGTTGCTTGTCATAAATGTGCCACTTTGATGACTTTTGACCTCCTGAAGTAGAAGAAATTACAGCTTACTAGGAAATTCAGTGTGTAGGTCAGAGGTGAAAGGCAGAAATGCTGAATTCTAATGAACCAGTAGCTGAGTTTAACACTAGACAATATAATTTTAACTGTTTTAGTAGCTGCACTAATTCTTGTTGGGGCCTTTATCTAGTACATTTGTTACAGATGTAGCAGACTGTAATTATAATTAATTTTGTTAGACAGTATTTTATCTCTCCATTTTTTAAGTAAATGTGAATAAATTTAAAAGTTAGCTTATGTTGTACTAAAACCTTCTTTAGTATCTACCACCAGAGATGGGGAAAGGGAAGAACGTGGAGAGGATGCTTCTCCCAAAATTTGAATACATAAAGCAAGTAGACCCAACTAAACTTTGTATTTTATCATATCGGTGAGGATATTTATCACTTATGATAAAAAGAAGATAAATGATTGGTTTAAATCTACCTTGACTGATTAAGATGATGGGTATAGTGCTTTGTAGAACATAATAAGTGGAGGAAATGTGGCTTTTAAGGTTTCTCGCCCTGGTTGGCCTTTTCTTGGGTCAAACTTCTCATTGTAATCCTCACTACTCAGAAGGCTAAAATCTGAGGATCACAGTTCAAAGCCTGCCCTGGCAGAAAAAATCCATGAGATTCTTATTTCCAATTAACCACCAAAATGCTATATAAGTGGATCTGTGGCTCAAGTGGTAGAGCACTAACCCTGAGCACAAAAGCTCAGGAACAGTGCCTGGGCCCTGGGTTCAAGCCCTGGTACCATCTTCCTTACTACCCCCCCTTAATTAAAAAAAAAAAAAAAAAAGAGCCAGGCGCCAGTGGCTCACACCTGTAATCCTAGGTACTGAGGAGGCTGAGATCTGAGGATCTCAGTTCAAAGCCAGCCTGGCAGGAAAGTCCGTGAAATTCTTATCTCCAATAAACACTCAGAAAACCAGAAGTGGCACTGTGGCTCAAGTGGTAGAGCTCTCGCCTTGAGCCGAAGAGCTGAGGGACAGCACTCAGGCCCAGACAGAGTTCAAGCCCCACAACCGGAAAAAAAAAAAAAGTATGCAAGACAGAAAAAGGATGTAAGGCATGGCTCAATGTGGAGGAATGGCCTTGCCTAACAAGTACAAGGCCCTGAGTTTAAACATTAGTACCACCAAAGAACAAAAACTTCCACACCTAACTACCACCAGGATTGTCATTTATTTCCTTTGCACTAAAAGTAAACGCAAATTAAACACAAACTGAATGGACTTGATTTGTGATCCAGACCAAACTAGATGAGCAATGTAAGTATAAACACAGTTCACAAAAGCTATACTTTCACATAAAATGAAACTGCCTAACTAAGCTCACAGAAACCGAAAGACGGCAAAATGAAGAACAGATCTTAGACTTGCTATTTCCATGCAATGGTGCTTTCTTATGCACATTTTTCCTCTTAGGATATATCTTGAGCTGGTTATCTTCTTTTAAAATCTGGGCTACAGTTAAAATTAAATAATTTAAAAATTGTATTATTGGTGTATGAATGTCTTCCAATATCTTAAAGGAAAAAGAAGCCAGGAGCTGGTGGCTCACGTCTGTAATCCTAGCTACTCAGGAGGCTGAGATCTGAGGATCATGGTTCAAAGCCAGCCTGGGCAAGAAAGTCAGTGAGATTCTTATCTCCAGTTAACCACTAGAAAACTGGAAGTGGCACTGTAGCTCAAGTGGTTGAGCACTTACCTTGAGCTGAAGAGCTGAGTGACAGTGCCTAGGCCCAGAGTTCAAGCCCCGACAGAAAAAAAAAAAAAAAAAACTATATAGAGCCCTCAGAACCTCGGAGATTTAAATCATTATTCTTTTACCGTGAACAGGTTCGAAAAAAAAAAAAAAAAAGGAAAAGGAAAGTGATCGGCAATCTTTAGGACTGGAGATGGTGGTTCAAGTAGTAGAGTACCTACTTAGAAGCTTTTAAGGCCCTGAGCTCAAAACCCATGCTGAGGAAAGAAAGAAAAACTTGTAAAGAAGTCTTTAAAATCAAGCTGAAATCTGAATTTAGCCACTAGCAGTGAAATGTATGAGAAAAATCTAGAAGAGGGATTATTAAGAATACTGGAATTGCCTTTGATAGTGTCTGCAGAAAAGTTTCCTAAAACTAGAAAACAATTCTTAAAAGTCTGCTCTTTAACTGGATTGTAACATGTAACTAATAGCTTTTTTTTTTTTTAATTTTTTTTTTTTTACCAGTCATGGGGCTTGAACTCAGGGCCTGGGCACTGTCCCTGAGCTTCTTTTGCTCAAGGCTAGCACTCTACCACTTGAGCCATAGCACCATTTCTGGCCTTTTCTGTTTATGGTAGTACTGAGGAATTGAACCCAGGGCTTCATGCATGCTAGGCAAACACTACCACTAAGCCACATTCCCAGGCCACTAATAGTTTTTTATTGTCTATACCTAATACCTATCTCCTCACACTTGTTTTTTTTTTCTTTTAACAGATTTATTTACCCACTCAAAGTATATGTTCATTAGCTTTTAGCATATTTAGAGTTATACACCTATCACCATACTAGAACATTTTTTTTACCTTCATTAACAAATATTGCCTATATCCCTCCTTCCATAAAACTTGCCATACCCTATAAACTACTTGTCTTCTTTCTTTTGTGTGTGTTCCAGTCCTAGAGCTTGAATTCAGGGCTTACGCACTGTCCCAAGCTCAAGGCTAGTGCCCTGCCAGTTGAGCCATAGCTCTACTTCTAACTTCTTCTAACTTTAATTAGAGATAAGGGTCTCACAGACTTTCCTACCTGTGCTGGCCTCGAACTGTGATCCTCAGATCTCACCATGAATAAATAGGAATACAGGCATAAGCCACTAATCTGCTTTTTGTCTCTATTGATTTAAGTATTTTGGATATTCTATATAAGTGGACTCATAAAAGTGGATTGTTAACCAGGCGTGGTGGCCCAAGCCTGTAATTCTAGCTACTCAGGAGACTGAGATCTGAGGATCGAGGTTCAAAGCCAGCCCAGGCAGGAAAGGCCGTGAGATCTTATCACCAATAAACTACTCAGAAAACTGGAAGTGGTATTGTGGCTCAAGTGGTAGAGTTCTAGCCTTGATCTGAAGAGCTGAGGAACAGCACCCAGGCCCAGAGTTCAAGCCCCACCATGGACAAAAAAAAAAAGTGGATTGTTGAGATAGGCCTTTTACACTTAGCATGTTTTTAGTGATCTTCCATGTCTAGTATATAGCACTTTGGATTTATCACATTTTATTTACCCACTGGTTAGTTGATAAACATTTGATTTGCCTCCACCTTTTGCCTATTGCCAATGATACTGTATGAATATTTGTGTTAAGTTCTTGTTTGGACACGTTTCCATTTATACATAGGAGCCCATGCTGCATCTTACATATGAGACTTCTTTTAGTTGCATCTCTGAATTTGAAATGTAGTAGAATGGCCAAGCCAAGAGATTCTTTTTATCTTTTTTGTGTTGCTATTGGAACTTGAACTCAGGGCCTCTCACTCTTGCTTAGCATTTTCTTTCAGGGCTGATGCTTTGCCACTAGAGCCACAACTTCACTTTTAGCTTTTCTGTGGTTAATTGGAGATAGAATCTATCAAATTTGTCTGACTGGACTGGCTTCAAACTTCAGTCCTCAGATATCAGCCTTCTGAGTAGCTAGGATTTCAGACATGAGCTACCATCACTCAGCTGTGATGCTCCTTAAATTTGAAAGGTTAAAGATTCTGCAAAAATAGAATTGGTAAAAAGCTATCATTGAAATGACATGGCAAGGAAGGCAAGAAAATTATTCTTTTTTGTTTTGTGTTAGTCACGGGGCCTGAACTCTGGGCCTGGGTGCTGTCCCTCAACTCTTCAGCTCAAGACAAGTACTCTACCACTTGAGCCACAGCATCACTTCCAGCTTTTTTTGTTTATATGGTGCTGAGGAATCGAACCCAAGGCCTCAGGCATGCAAGGCAAGCATTCTACCACTGAGCCACCTTCCCAGCCCAAGGAAATTATTCTTTAAGAGAAAGAGGGGGGCTGGGAAAGTGGCTCAGTGGTAGAGTGCTTGCCTTGTATGCACGAGGCCCTGGGTTCGATTCCTCAGCACCACATAAGCAGAAAAAGCTGGAAGTGGCGCTGTGGCTCAAGTGGTAGAGCACTATCCTTGAGCTGAAGAGCTGAAGGACAGCGCCCAGGCCCAGAGTTCAGGCCCCACGACCGGCAAAAAAAAAAAAAGAGAAAGAGGAAGGAAGGCCTTTCAGACTTGCTGACATTTGAGACAAGCATATCTGTTTGCTAATCTGTCTTTTTTCCTGCCTCTTTATTTCTTGCACATATGAAGCTAGGCACCAGTGGTTCATTCCTATAATGCTAGCTATTCAGGAAGTCTAATGCTTACAGTTCAAAACCAGCCCATGCAGGAAAAGTTTGCAAGACTTTTATTTCCAATTAACCACCAAAATGCTGCAAGTGAAGCTGTGGCTCAACTGGTAAATGCTAATGAGGGTGAAAAATGTTCAAGAGTTAATTGTGGTGATAGTTTTGCAACTCTGAATAGACTAAAAGCTAATGGCATCTGTGATTATATGTATAAATCACCTTAGACTCCTAAAAAATACCTGGGTCTAGTGGGCAAGAATAAATATTTTGGTTCTCAGATTGTCATCAGTAATGATAGTACATTATTTAATTGTCTTCTGTTAGCCAGAGCCTCAGATTTCCTGATATAAAATAGGAAATAGAAGAAAACTGATAATACTGTAATACAAAGCTTGTTTGTTTTTTGTTGTTGGTTGTTTTTTTTTTTTTTGGTCGGTCATGGGGCCTGAACTCGGCCTGAGCACTGTCCCTCAGCTCTTCAGCTCAAGGCTAGCGCTAGTGCGACGTCTGGCTTTTTCTGCTTGTATGGTGCCAAGGAATAAAACCAGGGCCTCATGCATGCAAGGCAAGCACTCTACCACTGAGCCCCCTTCCCAGCCCATACAAAGAAAATTTTAGCTTTATTTTATAAAATGTGTAAGAATAAGTAGTCAGGTGCAGTGGCTCACAACTGAAATCCTAGTTACTCAGGAGTCTGACATCTGAGAATCTATTCCTAATTTACCAACAAAATGCCAAACGGGAGATATGGCTCAAGAGGTAGAACACCAACCATGAACAAAAACAGCTGAGCAAGAGCTCAAGGCCCTGAGTTTAAACTCAGTACCAGCACATATATGCGAAGGAGCAGGAGGAGAAGACGAAAAAGAGGGGGTTACGTGAGTGAAAAGAGGAAGAATGGGAGAATACAGACCTAATGTGAAAATGGAACTTTGAAAGTCAAGGGGGACAGGTTGGGCTGGGAGAGATGGAGAAGAATGAAAGTGTGGCCTTGATTGCATTGTAATCATTGTATTGCATTGCAATCATTGACTTATTGAATTGAAACCCTTTTAGACAACTTCTTAGAGGTAATTTTAAAAATGAAAGAAAAAGAACAAGAGACGATTCAAATAATAGTTAGCTATTTTAAAGTACCTAATATGTTCAGAAGAATAGGTATCTCTAATCTCCTCCATTTGATATATACGCCCTTTAGTATCAACCATTAAAGTGGAAATTTTTTTAACTACTGACATTATTCTAGATTGAATCTAACAATCTGAAGTTAAATGTAACTGAAAATTATTATTAATAATAACAAAGGGCTGAGAAGGTGGCTCAGAGGTAGAGTGCTTGCATGAGGCCCTGGGTTTGATTCCTCAGCACCACATAAACAGAAAAAGGCACTGTGGCTCAAATGATAGAGTGCTAGCCTTGAGCTGAAGAGCTGAGGGACAACGCCCAGGCCCAGAGTTCAAGACCCATGACCAAAATAAAAAGAAAAAAAAAAAGAAGAACAAAATTAGAAATAACAAGAGGGCTAGCTTTTTTTTTGG